AAACCAATTTATTTTTACTCTTAAGGTTGTTTAAGGATCTGTTCCTCAGGGCTCACGTGGGCTTGGGAGGAGCCCCTGGCTCCTTTCTTCTACCAGTTCCGTCTATGTGAAGATAAGTCAAAGGTCCTGCTTGACCATGGCTGGCTTCACTTGGAAGCATGGAGGAAATGATTCCTCTGTGTTGACCCTCCTCTTTGTAGACTGGACACTGGTTCAAGTCCATCTTGTGGGGTCTCCTCGGCCTCCTTGATGGACAAGTAGTGAGGAATGGCTGGGGGTGCCGACAACACAGCAGACAGTAGCAGGGATATCAGAGTATAAAGGCTCTAGTTGGGGGAGGGAGGCTATGGGAGGGGGCTATCTGGAAAATGGGTGTATAGTTGAATAAGATGGTTTGGGATGTTGTGTGTGATACACACACACACACACAAAATCAACAAATTAAAAAAATGTATTATATTTGAGGAGGAAGTACGGAAACTTACGTCATATCAATTAGCACAGGTGATAAACATTACCACTGAAATCTACCCGATGACTTTATAGACATACATAGGTGCCAAGGATCCAAGTGCAACCGATTATGACTAGTAATAATCAGATACATACAGATTAGAGATGCATGTGCCAACATCTCAGTGTTAGTAGCAGAAACAATGAGTCTTTCTGCAAGGAACAATATATTCTAAAATGAAATGGAGATCTTTTTTAAAGGTTAAAAACTCTTTCAATTTTATGTCTTACAGGGCTTATACTGAGTTCAATATTGTATGACTGTATTAATTCAACTTTGAACCTAGAAATTTACAGTCACTTGTGAAAGAGATGTACTCTTGCTCTGGAGTGTGTTACTGAATATGTTAAAGCTGTAATGAAATGCTTCTTCTAATCATATAGTTATTAAAAATAAAAAAAAGACTAGGTTTTGAGTAGGATTGTTGTGTAGACTAGTTTTGTTTTATAAACTGCAGAAATTTTCATGTTTTTGTTCCTTATTTTGGGATTAACACCAATCTCCTGCCAATGTTTTTCTTAAACTCTGTGCATACCCTTTTGCAAACACTCACCCTCACATATTTTCTGCTAAAATGCACCTTCTTAAGGAAAAATCACAGAGCTTCTAAAAATCTTAGGTAAGAATTGACTTCATAGGACATCATAATGTTGAAGAAATTAAAGTGAACGAACACTTTTATCTTTGCTGACCAAAACGCAGGTAGCAATTTCTTTGCATGCTATCTTTGTTCCCTCAGTAAATACCAACACTCCTCAGTCTTTGAATGTTGTAAAAGACAAGGCAGCTCTGATTTGGGGACAGGCATATATTCTTAGGAACAGCTGTAGGCTTTCCCTTGGAAGGGTCTCGGTGTCTTCAGCAGTTAATTTACAATAAAAGTGAAAAAGGGAGGAATGAATAAGGAGAGAGAGACAAGAAGAAAGAAAACCAGTGGCAGCCTTCCATCTATTCTAAAAGCAAATAAACAGGTGGTTTTAGTTCCCTGTTAAAAGAGGCACGCTTTACCTAAAAGGTGTCATTTATGAGTTAAAAGTGGATAAACCTTGAGAGATTCAAAGTCACTGTATCCTTCCCTTGCTGCCTGAATCTTCACAGGTTGGGATGACCTCACACCCACTGTGATGTGCAGAGCCCAGGAGGCTTACAAAAACAAAGCAAACAAACAAAAACCGCTGCTTTGCACTTGTCTAGCTAGCCTTCATTCTCCTGGGGTGAACTGTCCTGGTTTTCATTCCTTGGGCTTGTAACAGAGCCGCCGTGTGTGTGAGCCTGTTAATTAAAACAAAAACAGAACTGTTTCTGTTACGCTTTTAGAACTATACAAATTTCCAGGTGATGTGGGACAGGAGAAACAGCAGCAACCCAGTCTATTTGGGTGTGAGCAGAATATTGGCACTTGAATTAAACACGAGGCAAATGAAAAAACTTCTCTTGATCTTGGAACTGGGAGTCTAAGACTGCCTTGACCATTTCCCTGAGGAATTCATTATTCCTCATTATCAAAGTGCCTGGAGAGCAAGGACTACCAGGCCTCATCAGATTCCAAAGTTAGCTTCTCCACAAGAGCAAAGAATAGCCTGGTGGCTTCTGAGGCCACATCAGGGTCAGGCTGGAGTCCATTCCTGCTGAGCTGCTGAGTCACTGCCACCTCAGGGAGCTCCTCAACCTCCCAGAAGGTAGAGTGAGGCCTTCCGCTAAGAGCTGTACACAAAGGTGGCCTCTGCTCATCTAGTCCTCTTCCAAACATTAGTTCTCCTAAGGATAAACATATAGATCAGAGAGCACTTTTCTAATGGAGGCACATACTTGGTGCCTCTAGTAGGCCCTCCACAGCTTCTGTGAAAAGGTTTAGAGGTGTGTGTATATGATGAACCAGTCCTGGAAGGTGATAGGAAGCAGAAAACAAAGAAAAAAATGAAAACAAAAGGACAGTTAAAGAATTCATCACACTGTCACACAGTCCTCCTTTATGAGAAACAAACACCAGTGTACCCTTCACACCTTTCCACAACACAAAGTTCTGTTCTTTTGTTTAATATATCAGGAATAGTAAATAAACATTCACTTTCTATTTTTTTAAAAAATTTATTTGTGATCTGTACATGTGATAAAGTGGGGTTTCATTGCAGATCTTCAAAGGCAAAATAAAACAAAAATCCAAAGTAAAAATGTATAAATACAATATATATTTTCTTACAAAAATGGGAGATTTACAAAATATACATACTGCACTGTCTCTATTTTACAAATTTCACATGCAATTATGAGATACAACACAAAAGATGCCAAAAACCTGTGCAGTGACAGTTTGAAAAATTCTGACACGTGAGATAATTTTGAAGGTTTAATACAAGATCAAGCCGGGCGTGGTGGCACACGCCTTTAATCCCAGCACTCGGGAGGCAGAGGCAGGTGAATCTCTGTGAGTTCAAGGCCAGCCTGGTCTACATAGTGAGTTCCAGGACAGCTGGGGCTACAGAGAAATCCTGTCTCAAAAAAAACCGAAAAAAAAAAAAAAAAAGAAATACAAGATCAATTTTAACTTTACTGTAAAAGCAGCTCTATTCAACCTAGCTCACACAGATAGTGGAATTTGAACTCTTGACAGTACCCCGATTGGCATTTAAAAACTGTTCTGAGAAACAGGACCGTGTTGCAAGATCCAAGAGCAGTGTCAAAGGTGGTGTAAAGCTTAGCTCCCATGATCCTTTGCTCAGCTTTACACCATTATGCCAAGGAACCAGACTTCTATTACAGAAAAAAAGTACATGATTTAAGATTAATAAATTTAAGTCTTCTACCACATTTCAAAGAACTCCAGAATCACTTTGAAGTTTACCTTCCTCTAATGACTTTCTTTAAAAATGGTTCAAACTTTCCTCTTCCATCACTATCATTTCTGCAGATCACCTCTCCACCCAACCAGAGGCAGGGTCAGCACATGTATTCTAGAAACACATTTATGGAATGAAGAAAAAAATGTGGGCAAAATGGATTTTTAACTTTAAAAAAACTCAAACTTTATTATGATGCTGCGAGCATGCACTTTCTTTTATCTTGAAGGATACAAATTAGACGGGAAAAAATAGAAACTAAATCTAGGCTTCTAGCAAGGGGTTGGGGGGGTGAAAGCAGAGATTTTACTAAACACTTGAACAGAGCCTGTTAGATCATGTATTCTGAGTTAAATGTGTTTAAAACAAACAAGGAAGCTCCTTGCTTTCCTTGATCCGAATCAGAACCTCTGGCAGAATGGGTACGAAAGCACACTGCCCTCCACTTTTCCTTAAAAAGGAATGTTTACCTCAATCAAATTAACACCAAGGGGAAACCTCAGATTTGTGCTGCTTTGCCTATAAAAATTGCTGTCTTCACAGTTACGCCTTTCCACAGGGAGACACTTTTGTTTCTTTTGTCTCTTACAACAAAGACAAGGGGGAAAATGCATTCCTGTTTTGAAAAGCAACAAGTCATCACTTCTTTTCAGAGTATTAAACCAAACAAAACACTCTTCCTTCTGCCTCCTGCCTTTCCTAGGAAATGAAAGGGTAGCAGAAATATCTACTACTGTTCTCTTTAGCCTCATCTTGAAAATGCTACCGTCATTTCTCTCCATCTTCACATTAGGATTCTAGCAGGCAGGCCTCCCAAATGCTTATTTTACAAGACTTGAAAGGAGTAGGGGAGGAAAAAACAGGCGGGAGGAGGCCGGGGAGGAGGGATTGTAATGTCTGACCCTAGAAATTAACCCATCTGGGTTCAGGTTTGGCCCTAGTGAAAAGAGATTATGGTTTGACCACCGCTTGACAAGGGCACCGCAGGGGGTCTGCCCTCTTCGCCACAAAGCTGCGGCTGCAGACGCGGCTGTACCTTTTCCCCCCTGCCTCCCAGGAGTGAGGCCAGCCGCTTGCCTTGCAGCAGGGGATGCACTCCCAGCCCCAGCTCAGCTCCGGCACCAGGAAGAACTCACAGCAGTCCGCAGACCTCAGCTTTTCCCATAGGCCCTAGCCGGCCCAAACGTTTCCCAGTTAGCATCATCTTGCAAGTCTCTGCCACAAGTCTTTTCATCCAAACCGCTTTATCAAAACTCAGACCTCCTCTCAAAACCACCTTTCTCACCGCAAATCTCTCACTTCCAAGTAACTTCTCACTTCCAGGTGGAGGGGGTAGGCTTCGAAAACAAGCCTCCTCCCCCAAGCAGTTGTTCTTTCCCTACCGAGCCTCTCCTCCAGCAAGGGGGTGGAGTGGCAAGGGTGGGGGAGGGGCCGGGGTTCATACTGCAGTCTCCCCCTTACTGCTGTGGCTGAGTCTGTGGTAGAAGCGACGCCAGGACTGCAGGGTCTTGCCTGACCAGATCCAAAAGCCAGTGGTGATGCCCACGATCATGGTCATCAGGTACTTGATCATGAAGACTGTGAAGTCAGGGCTCATGGGCGGGAAGTGGCCTGGCGGGCAGGGCACCGCGTAGCTCTTGCAGGTCTGCAGGAGCCAGGTGCGCTCCCAGTGCTCGCGGAAGGCCTGCTCGTAGAAGTAGCAGGCCAGCACTATAGTGGCCGGCACGGTGTAGAGCACGCTGAAGACGCCGATGCGCACCATGAGCTTCTCCAGCTTCTCCGTCTTAGTGCCGTCGTGTTTCATGATGGTGCGGATGCGGAAGAGAGACACAAAGCCCGCCAGCAGGAAGGACGTGCCGATGAAGAGGTAGACGAACAGGGGCGCCAGTACAAAGCCCCGCAGCGCATCCACGCTCGACAGGCCCACGTAGCACACCCCGCTGAGCAGGTCCCCGTCCACCTGGCCCATGGCCAGGATGGTGATGGTCTTGACCGCGGGCACAGCCCACGCAGCCAGGTGAAAGTACTGCGAGTTGGCCTCTATGGCCTCGTGGCCCCACTTCATGCCGGCCGCCAGGAACCAAGTGAGGGACAGAATGACCCACCAGATGGAGCTGGCCATGCCGAAGAAGTAGAGCACCATGAAGAGGATGGTGCAGCCCTCCTTCTTGGTGCCCTGCGCCACCGTGCGGTAGCCATCATCCGAGAAGCGCTCCACGCACACCGCACGGTCCTCCAGGAGAAAGCCCGCCACGTGCGCCACGGCCACCATGAAGTAGCAGCCCGATAGGAAGATGATGGGCCGCTCTGGGTAGCTGAAGCGCCGCATGTCCACTAGGTAGGTGAGCACGGTGAAGAGCGTCGAGGCGCAGCAAAGCACGGACCACACGCCCACCCAGAGCCGGGCGAAGCGCCTCTCCTCCTCTTTAAAGTACATGAGGCCGTTAGCCCGGCCCGGCTCGCACGGGGCACCGCAGTCTCGCTCACCTAGGAAGCGGTAGCCCAGGTAGGGGGGCACCTTGAGCTGGCGCGGGCACGAGAAAGGGAAAGAGGGGCGGCCTCGGCCATCTAGGGGGGGGTGCGCAGTGAAAGGCAGGTCCTGCGGGTAGGAAGCAGTAGGATAGGCGGTGGGATTGCCGCCCGCGCCCCCGGAGCCGTCGGACGTGTTCTGGCCCACGCAGATCTCTCCCGCTCCGTGCACCGGGAAGTGCTCGCAGCGCAGCCGCTCAGGCCACTGGAAGCCGAACTTGTTCATGAGCGCCTCGCAACCCTGGCGGGCACGCTCGCACAGGGAGCGGCACGGCGGGATGGCTTGGTCCAGCACCGTGCACACGGGCGCGTACATGGAGCACAAGAAGAAGCGCAGTTCCGGGGAACATTGCACCTTCACCAGAGGGTAGAACTGGTGCACCTCGAGGCCCGCGTCCTCTTGGTTCGTGTGGCCCAGCAGGTTGGGCAGGATAGTCTGGTTGTAGGCGATGTCCGTGCACAGCGGGATGGAGATGGGCTGGCAGAAGCCGTGGTCCGGCACCGATATGCCCTTCTCGCCGTGGTACAGCTGCGCCCAGGTGCCCGCGGGCAGGGCGCCCAGCAGCGCCAGCACTAAGGCGCACAGGCCCAGGGGCGAGCGCGACGCCGCGGTGCCGGGGTCCCGCATCGCCGGCCGCGGGTGCAGCGGCAGTCTCAGCTGGAGGGAAGAGACGAAGCTCCTGGGAGAGGCTTGGATGCTGGCAGGCGCCGCCGAGCCCGGCGCATGAGAGTCCTACCGGCGCCGAGGCCGGGCCGTGGGCGCCGCGGGGACGAGGCCGCCAGCCGTGGGGCGCCGCAGCCGCCTCCGCGTGGCACTCACGCGGCCGCTGGGGGCCCAAACTCTTCGGCCTGGGTTGGGGATTCCGAGGGGGTCGTCTTACCCTCCCGGCCGAGACGTAACGGTGTGGTTTTCTCCACGCCTAGGAAAGGGTGAGCGTCTCCGCTTACCCTTCAAAGTTTGCTTAAGTCTCCCGGCGCCCCGGCGCACCGCGATGCGCGCGTTGTCCGTTCCAAGTCCGGCTTCCGCCAGGAGAGAACCGGACGCCGCCGCCTGCACGCCCGGGCCGCCGCCTCGTCGGTGCTGTTCCGCCTCCTCGCCTCGAGGCTCCGCTGGCCGCCGTCGCCTCGTTCTCCTCCGCACCCCCCGCCTCCTTCAGCCCCAGAAGATCGGCCCCAAGTTTCAGTCAAACGGCTGGTTCTCTCCCTGAGTCCGATCCGGCGTCCAGGAGAGCTTGGCTAGTTCTTTCTGGAAACTCTGTTGCGCCGACTCTGCAGCGCCGAGGCCCCGCGCGCGGCCGGCACCCGGCCTCCCCAGCCCCGCGCAGTCCGGGCCTCCAAGCAGCGCCGCCCGCCTAGGAAAGAGCGCAGAGTAACGCCGGGGAGCCGTGCTGGTGGCTACAAGAGGCTTCAGGCTCACAGGTCTGCGGGCCGCCCCGCCCCCTCCCCTCCCCCCATTCACAAACCACCACGGGGGCGGGGCCGAGCCCCCCCCCCCCCAGGCCCAATGGCACGCTTTGTTTTCTCTGAAGCCGCCTTCCAATTGGATGGAAGTCGGAAGGGGCGGACGAGGGAAGGAGGGAGGCGGTGTCTGCTGCGCTCTGGGCGGATTCCTGCGGGGAGGGGCGAGAGACTGGAGGGAAAAGTTGGGAAAAAGTTTTACCCAGAGTTTACTCCGGAGAAAAATTCACCAGAAAGGGAATTTGCTTTGAAAGATTTGTTCCTCTTCCGGGTACACTAAAATACACATTCCTGAGTACAAGGGCGCATTCGCCGAAGGCTTTGGCGAGAAGCTGAGAATAGCGCAGCGCCGGGGCAGAGAGACGTGACCCGGAGTCACGTTAGTCTGGACGGGGATGGAAGGCCGGGGGGCTGGCTGGGGCGGGGGACTTTCGGTTAGTGTGGGGCGAGAAAGGGGGTGCGGCTGGCGGAGTGCTTTTCTCTCCCCAGACCCCAGCCGACCACGTGAAGCCGACAGTCACCTCTCCCTCCCCCAGTTGCCAAGAGGAGGAAGGGCGGCCCGAGAGGAGAAAGCAGAGTCGGCGGAGGGGCAGGCTTCTGGCGGCAGGAAGTACAGACCCTCAGAGGAGAGGGCCCGGATCTGGGGGCGCTGCCCCCAGAGCGCAGCTACCCCGCCTGCGCTCGGCCCAGAGCCTCCGGAGCCCGTGGGGGCTCCAGTGAGTGTTTGGAGAAAGCTAAGGGGGGAAGTGCTGGGGGAATGCTTGTAAAAAGTAACCCGAGACCCAGTGCCCAGGAACACTCTGTATGGTTTACAGAGCGCCCTCATTTGCCCTGCTCGCCTTAGTTCTGCGGTGTGTGGCCTTTGGGGATCTGCATCGCAGAAGCCACCATTTGACCTTCCCATTTGGAAGCTATGTAGAAAAGTTTCGCTGCGTATTTGAAACCAGGGCATTTGCTAATTAAACGGCCTTCAAGACACAAAGAGGGGTTATTTTCCTTCTGGGGTAGTGTTTTCTGATTGGCAAGAGTCCTTTTGTTCTCAAAGTTTCGCCCTGCTCCAGGCACTGGGTCCTCGCACGCGTTGTCTGATTACTCCAGACCGGTCAGAAGTTACCAAGGGGCCTCTGCCCTCTCTCGGGGGCAGCCAGGAATATCATGAATATTATGAATTCCCGTGCAGGAAAGTGACAAATTGACTCACTGTCTCTGTAGTCTTACACTTTTTTTTTTTTTAAATGTGTATGAGTGTATTGCCTGCATGTGTGTCAGTGCACCCGTGTCGTGCAATGCCCGCAGAGGACAGAAGAGGCCGTTGGATCCCCTCGGACTGGAGTTTCGGATAGTTGTTAGCTGCCATGTGGGTGCTGGGACTGAACACGGTCTTCTGCAAGAACAACCAGTGTTCTTAACCGCTGAGCTATCTCTCCAGCCCCAGTCTTACACTTTATAAAACGTTATTCCTGGTGAAGTCCTGCCTGTCTCAGTGGGTGCTGGCGCTCTGAGAGATTTTTGATCAGGTTGAATGTTGAACGTTGGCAGAAGTTGCTGCCTCCGGATGCTTCGTCTCCATTTAGGAAAAAATGTGATTCTGAAATCTATGACAATTAGTTGGATTCTCTTTCTCGGAAAACTTCTGTTTTCCTTTTCCTTACTTTCTATCTCCGAGGTTTGCTGGGATCTTTCCTTCTACTTCACAGCGCTTTGTCTTTTGCGCTCCTGTTAATGGGTGTAAAGAACTGAGCTCCTTGGAAGAAGGCAGGGTGTCAGACAGCTCACATCCTCCCTCCGGCCTGCCACAGGAGTCATCATTTTCCTTTTAAGCATCTGTTTACCCCCTCACACGGGATCTTCTTCCTTTTGGAATATCTGCCTCAAAGCAATAACAAAAATTAATAATATTTTCTTCAAAAATGTTGCACACTTGTCTCTTTTTCAAGACCTTTTGCTTTCTAAATTATCATTCCGATTACCTAAGCATTGTACTGTGTTGTTCGTTGAAAGATGTTGCTTAAAGGCGTCGCGGCTGCTTTGCTTTGTCATTGAAAGCCTGGCGGTGGGGGTTTGATTCCTCCTCTCTCTGAGGTTCAGGACATCCTCCTTTTCTAAATCAAATTTTCATGCTTATTTATCAGGCCACTGATCTAAGTCATCTTTGCTTATTGAGGGAGAAATACTAAGTACTGTCATCAAATAAAATGAAAACTGACAGGATAGAATTCTGACTGAAATGCAACAAAAACCAGTTAGTTGATTAGCTGCTAATCCTCATAGCCCCAGACAGCTCTGATGTTAGGTAACGGGAAGAATGATTTAGAAGGGGTGGGGTAATGAGCCATATATAAGGGGGAAATGAAATATTGTTAAAACAATCAATGTATAAGTTGTAGGAAACTCATCCCAGATGAAGATGTCACAGCTGTAAGTTCTTTTGCTCTGTCCCAAGCAGACAAGCACACACACACACGCACACACACACACACACACACACACACACACACACACACACAAAAGAGAAGCAAAAGCAGATTGGGAGGAGAGGACAACAACAGCAACACTTAGTCTGAGTTTGGGGATGTAGCTCAGTGTAGAGTGATTGCCTAGCTTCTGTGAGGCCTTGGGTTCAATCCCTTGAACCACAAACAAACAAAAACCTCAATCCAAAATTACTCCAAGAAAATAAGAATTTGGTGTTTGAGAGATGATGCTATAGCTTTCCATGATTATCTGATATCGAATGCTATGATTTAAAAACTTTTTTTCTTTAGTTTTGAAATGCTGTGATTTTAAGGAGCTGTGTCATAAAGGAAGTAGATCAGAAAAGGTAAATTCAGGATGTAAAGGGGCTAAGTATTCTGTGTTAGGCCCTATGGCAAGTGTAGCAATATTGGTTTACAGTCTAGCTGTGATTAATTTCCTTTCTAAGCAACACCTTCCACACCCAATTCCCAAAGCTTCTTATTGGTATCTTCTTTGGAAAGCTAGGGGTGGAAAATTTTGTAACAGTCTTTTGCAAAGCTTCCAATTGTCCCTACCCTTTAAAATAACAAAGGCCTTTATTTCATCACATCATAGTCATATATGGTCCCATAGAAAAGTGATGGCATTCATTAACTCCACTTTTTCAAATGCTACTTATTTTGGCTAGTTTCCAGGTTTATCTAGCTGAATTACATTCTGATGTCAGGGCAGATTTGAAAATGGTTACATTAGTGGTGCCATAATCCTGTGGTTGTAATGAAACTCCAGCTGCAAGATTACTCATGCAAGTCTAGAGAGGGCAGCTTGTAGCATGTGCTGCTTTTTCTGGGTTCAGTTTTGCCAAACAATTTTAACCTCATAACACTGAGGATTTAAGTTATCCAATTGCTTGGTTGTCATAGACTTGTGTTCATCTTTACTTAGGGTATATTGGGTCATTCCTACATCTCTAAAGTACTTTCAAATTTTCTGGCAGTTGGAGATGTCTAGGTTGAAGGAAAAGGAAGGCCATATTGCAACTGTGTTCATGGTCAGTGCATAGGCTCCCATCCTACTGAGATGATATATCTGGAAGATTCAGTCACTGAATCTGTTGGACCAACATTTCCTTTGTTGGTCAAGAGTTTTAAGTTATTTATTGTTGTGTAACAGATACTCCCCAAACTTAGCAGCTTTAAAATAACAAATACTTAGTATCTCACAGTTTCTAAGTGTCAGGAATCTGGGTGCACTTCACTTGACCTTCTGGCTTGGAGTGGTCTTTATGCTCACTGCACTCAGAGTGTTAGTCATGGCTGTAGTTACTTCAAGGCTTCAGTGGAGTACTCACTTTGTTCCTCAACATTCAGGTCTCTCCTCAAGCCATTCAAAATATGGCACCTTGCTTTCTTGAGTGCAAAGTCTCAGGAGAGAGTCCTCAACATTCAGGTCTCTCCTCAAGCCATTCAAAATATGGCACCTTGCTTCCTTGAGTGCAAAGTCTCAGGAGAGAGGGAGAGAGAGAGCGAGAGAGAGAGAGAGAGAGAGAGAGAGAGAGAGAGAGAGAGAGAGATTGTGAGAGCAATAATGAGAAAGAATGCCCAAACTATAACAATCAAGATGGAAACTACAGTCTTTCTGTAGCCTAATCTTGAAGTGACAACCTGTTATTTTTGCCATATTCTATTCATTGGAAAGAAATCCCTAGATTTACCCACACTTTAGTGCCAACAGGAGTTACAGCAGAGTGTGAAAACCTATTGGAGGTGCGGATCACTGGGAGCATTTTGCACATTACTTACTATGAAGGTTAGTTCTTCCTTACCAGAGTGTTAATGAAATGAGGACACAGAAAAGCAACTCATGCTGCTGACCTTGGGGAGTCCAGAGAAAAGGTTAAAATAAAATACAATGCAGTGTTGACTGACTACAGTGCCACTTGCATCTGTTACACTTAGAACAGAACCCTAACTCTAGACCATCGATTTTCAAATGTGTCTTTGGACTGAGGGAAAAACAATGTGGAGGAAGTTGATGAATCAAAGAACATCAGCAATTCTGGGAAAACCCTCTGAGCACTCACTGAGAGTGAGCCATTCCAGGGGATCAAGTCTGTATTCAAGGGGCGGAGCATTTGGATCACAGTCCTGAAAGAGATTTGGGCCATTTCGGTTATGAAGAGGCAGCACTGTGGGTAACTGCCACCTATGTCTCAGTGCCTGTCTGTGCAGTACTGAGGTGAGGAAAAGTGCAGAGGTGGCTAGTGCAGCCTGATGTGGTTCTGCTTTTCACCTCTGATTTCTTGTCTTGCCTCAATCAAGTCAACTAACCTCCCTATACCTCACTACCACCCATGTATAGTACAAATTAATGGTATAAGATTTATAAAATGGGGGCTGGAGAGATGGCTCAGCTGTTAAGAGCTTGCTGCTCTTGTAGAGATCTGGGTTTAGTTCCCAGCACTCATAAATCCAGTTCTAGGGGATCCAACACCCTCTTCTGACT